TTTTTATTGTTATGAGACTTTATAGAATTACAAATACATGTTATTTCTTTAAAAATTAAATACAGGAAAGAAAAGTGTGCTCGATTAAATCATCATGGGGTTTTTATTGCTTTTATACCTCTCTTAAATTATTATAATTTTTTTCGCTCTTGTACAGGACTATGCTGACACAGAAATGCTGCTCTCCAGGGCCAATGTTGACCAGAAGGCTCTGCTGTCCTATGCCAGAGAAGCAGCAGATTTCTCTACCAATCATCAGCTTCCTAAGCTGGACTTTGCCATCAACCATTACGGCCAACCTGATGTGGCCATGTTTGACTTCACCTGTATGTACGCCTCAGAGAACGCAGCGCTCGTCCGCCAGCGCAACGCCCATAAGCTTCTAGTAGCCCTGGTGGGGGACAGTCTTCTAGAGGTGAGTGGAAAACCGATATGGAGGAGGGAAATATGACTATGCTCATGTAAGGGAGTTTGTTATTTGTTATAACCTACTTTAATAGAACCAGATGGTTTTCCATGAAGTACCGCAAAATTGGCTTTTGCTCTTCTCCAACCTCTTCCTTTGACAAATTTCAACTTCTGAAAATAAATTTTCTCACATAAATCTGAAACCACTGTGGTAATGAAAGCATTAAGTTAAAACCCAACACACAGTTACACTAGCTAGACCGCGATTGTGAGGTCAGTTTTTCCATCTTCTTCCAAACAGAAGGTGACTGATTTCTAATATGAACTGTACAGCTGTTCATTTATCAATTTTAGTGTATGAGAAACAAGTTGGCTGATGGATATGTGCCTTTTTTGTGTGTGTATAGCCGTTCTGGCCGATGGGCACTGGAATAGCAAGAGGTTTCTTGGCAGCCATGGATGCAGCGTGGATGGTGCGGAGTTGGGCTCATGGAAGCTCCCCTTTGGAAGTGCTGGCTGAACGGTAAGACATGCTATGTACAGAATGGAATGCTAGTGTGCTGTTTACAGCATGCTGTGCAGTATAAACTGTATATTCCAACCATTTTATTGTTTTTAAAAATAATGCATAATATACAGTCTGCAATAATAAGTCTTTCAAAAGGTGGTTTGGCTGTTTTCACATGGCCTCACTATGTTGCTTGTTCAGTTCAGGAAATGTAAACCTATGATAATCAAAACAATGCAATTTAGCATTTTAATCCAATTTGTGTCTGAATATTTAAACGTTTCGCATACTGTAAAAATAGTATGAGTAATATAGTGTTATGCTATTCCAAACACACCCAGAGTGATACAGAACTTATGATGAGGTTGACAGTGATTGTGTCTTCAAACTAAGCAGTAAACAGCTCAAGTCCCTGCAGGCTGTCACTTACTGTGGCGCTTGTTTTCTTCCTGCAGTGCTATTTTGCTGCATACTGCAGGGTAATTCACGGTGTCAAAACACTTTTCAACTTGTATGCAATAAGCAGCGTGTTTGTGGGGAAGCAAAAGTGTTTTATGAGGAAGTAGCTTGCATGATGTCTCAAGGGTTTCATTTTGAGACATCAGTAATGGGATGAACGCCAAAATGAAGGGAATTTGGGTCTGAAATCATGGTGTGTAGTAATCATGAGCATGGCTCCCTTGGGTTTCAGGGAAAGTATCTATCGACTGCTGCCTCAGACGACACCAGAGAATGTGAGCAAGAACTTTAGTCAGTACAGCGTGAACCCGACGACACGGTACCCCAACATCAGCCTTCACCAAGTGAGACCCAACCAGGTGGGATTACGCACATCTGACCCGTCAGAAAACCCAGCTGCAAGTTTTGTCTAGATATATTTGCTAATATCTCAAAATATATATTTTTTTCATACTGTACATTATCATGTTGTGATCCCTAAATTCAGTTTTAGTGTTTACAATTGCTATAAAGTTTTTTAATTAATTATTTTTTTCCCCCAAAAATATTAATATTGGCCATTTATCAGTTATTTGCTATAACATAAAACAAATATATGCTTATTTGTTTCTGTCCAAATTGTAATATTGGTGCATCCCAAAAAATAAAGTTTCTGATGTTACATTCTTTCTTTTTTTTGGCTTTTGTGTAAATAATCTGTAAATAAGGTAATTAATTTTTTGCACATTTCATTTGTTGTCACTTTATGCACATATTGGCATTTCATCTGCCTTCTGCCTGCTTTCTAGATATTGGCATCAGAAAAACATGTCTGACAACTAGTTATCTTGGATAATGGTGACCCTCCTAAGGAATAAACATGAGTTCTAATAACTTTACAACATAATTGTCTGCAGGTACGGCATCTGTTAGACACCGGAGAAACCAGGGATTTGCGTGTCGACATGGAGAATGTGGTCAACTCTTCATCTCCTAAACTCACAAGAAATGGTTGGTAGATTTAGTATCACATTATTATTGCACGTCAGCTGTGGATACATTAGTTTTCCATATATTTATTTTGGCGTTTTTCTACACATTGGATAGTCTCAAATGTAAATGTGTATAACTTGATTTATTCTCATCCTAGAAATTCTGCTTGAGAAGCAATTGCAAGGTAATTTTGTGGGCGACTCTAATCCTAATGCATGATGTTCTACAGGCTTCTACGTTTCAACAAGCTTTGTGCAGTTTATTGTATGAAAAGAGTAACTCTGACATGGAATGAAAAGTTGTCTTTGAGCGCTTTAGAATTAAATGCAACTATGCACTAACAAATATTTGTGGATTTTCACAAACTGAGAACTGTTATCAATGCCGTCGATGTCTTGAATGTTTCATAACCTCTCAAAAAGGAATGAAATGCACCATGAAAGTTCTTCAGACGCTGCTCTGGTCATGTGACTAACTCCGATTGGATGTTGGCGCATTCCATTACTGAATATGTACATTCTTGCTTAGGCACCACTTGACTTTGCTTGCCCCCATCAGAATCCATCGTGCGCTCCAGTAAGCTGCTGAACTGGTGTCAAAGGCAGACGGAGAGATACAGAGGTGTCAGCGTGTCTGATCTCACCACGTGCTGGAAGAGCGGCCTGGCCCTGTGCGCGCTCATCCACTGTTACAGACCAGACCTCATGTAAGTGCAGTATGCCACATGCTGATCCCAACAAAAGCTCTGTGTTATTACGGTGCTATATCTAGAGATGCAGGACTGGAGCACAAACGCTGCCGCAGAGAATCAGAGATTCAGTTCATCCAAAAATTGAATTGGAAAGGACGTGTAAGTCATATGCCCACGCAGTGTGAGAAGACCGGAGATCAAGCAAAGTTAAAAAGAAACATGTTTGACATTTTAGAGAGTTTTAAGGTTTTAGTGGTGGTTTGATAATGAGCTTTGGACTATCATCATAAAAGATGCACTCTCTACTGTAGTTCTTTCCATCATTAAAAATAGAGCCCGACTGATATATCGTTTAGCCGATATTATCGGCCGATATGAGCCTGTTGACGATATATCGGTATCGGCGAATATGCTGCCGATATGAACATTTTTTTTACAGAACGTATAACGCAGATAAAATGCTTGAAATGGTGTAATTACTTAGTTTGTCCAGCAGAGTGTGCTCCATTGTTTGCTACTGGCGACCTGGATGAAACGCTTTAAAGCTTAAGTCTATGGAAAACCACTGAAACTTTGAACGGCCATATAACCGTAAAGGCGCGGCGAATCCGCACCAAATTCGGGGGATCCTTTCAGCTCAAGGAACCCTCTCAAACGCGAATACCGTAAAGGCGCGGCGAATCCGCACCATATTCGGGGGATCCTTTCAGCTCAAGGAACCCTCTCAAACGCGAATCGATTGTACGTCTCGAGGCCCTCTTTCGAATGAGACTTTAATTGTTAAATGCCCTGCCTCCATTACATATCTTTGTCACGTCATTATAAGTGTTTGATCACCACATTTGAGTGATCATTGCAAAAAATGTGTTTATGTATATATATTCTA